GGGGGGGGGGGGGGGGAGGAAGCCCAGTAAAAGAGGGAGGGAGATTTTTTGAAAATTGCCCTGATGATGAGCCTTGACCAAAGATGTAAGACTAGTCAACAACAAGCATCAGGCTTCCTAGTGACACTTGAACTTGTTGTGATTGATGCTACCTATTTACAGTGTATTTTCTATAGCATGATTGGAACTGAATACTGCAGACATACATACAGATAAATTTAACACAAAACAGACCAACAAATTGTTGATGATATTTCACGGAGTAAGGGTGATTCATGGACATTTTAAATGTATTGAGGTCAAATACATATATTAATCTGCAACCTGTCATTTAGAACAAATTGTATGTATGATTTCTAAAACATGTTCTATCATATGGTTTTGTCAGCACCAGGCAATACAATTATGTTTATGAAAGGAACATGTTTAAAGATCCTGATGTGTTCTGTGGTTAATAAAAGACTAATTATGATGAGAGATAAATATGACAAGCCTCAATAATATGAATATTGTAATAGAAAGGAAAATCTTTAAAAACTTTTCTCAATAAAAGGTTCACCTTTTGTAATTTAGGGCTTGCCTTAATAATACTAATACCTTTTCATCTAGTGAATGTAGGTGTTTATGAAACTTTAATATACTTGGCACATAGTTTCTTTTTTATCATGTGAATATACCCAGGGTGCTAAGAGGTTTCTTCTTCTGAGGTCCCTAGCTGTCAGTTTGGATACTGCAAAATGTATTTCTGAACATCAAGTTGCAGTTGATAGTAATCAACTAAACAAAGGAAACAAACGGAGAAACTGGCAGCAATAAAATTATACTAGCACTGGCGGCATTTCTTGCGACATACCTAAGCAACCATTGTATGGTGGCGATATATTGATGACATTTTTCATATGGCCCTGTTCTCGAGAGAACTTAATCTCCATTACCCAGACACTCCACGATTTTGATGAGACTATCAAGTTCACCTTTGATATCCATGTTGTTCTATTTATAGCATCAATTCTTACCTGGTTCATCTATTTTTAAACCTCTTAACTAGCAGAATTGTACTTTAACTACTTCAGTGCAAATGGTGGTTCTGATGAAGCATCATTAAAGATGCGATAACTGGTCAACCGCTACTATGTAGCAAATAAATACAGGAATCTGTGTGTTGAGGTTGTATTTCATCATATCACGTTATATGTTTGTGTATTACACATATGTACTATGCTGACTTCAGTTCTAGATAATGACACCACACACACACTGTTTCCATTGTGAGGTAACAATGGAAACCATAGATGTAGAGACAAAATGGCTTAAAAGTTTGATGTGGACATTTCCATTTACTACAATATTTGCCCAAAAAATTGATAAAATCATATGATCTTTAATTTGTGTCCATTTGATACATAACTTACAAAATTAATCATGATTTTTTTTTTCATTTTAGCTAAATCGTCACAATCATCAAAGGCTCACTAAAATTTTAAATGCTTAGACTTGTTTCATAAAACACACATCTGAAAAAATCATGTAGGTCGAGTATATATATATATGTACTTCATACTGTTTTTATAACACAGATAATAGAACTTGTGATATCATTAATCACATTACAAGTATATTATACCCATGGCCATATTAGATGAAGTTATAATTATATGGAATGGTAGTATAATCATCTCAGATGTATATTATTCTCACAACAGCTGAGTTTGAAAATAAAATACTTTATGTTCAAAGCACTGATTAAAATACAACTTGTGAAATATGAATAACAGTACTCCTGGACCTCATTTCAGGTGAAAAGTTTTATCTTGTTGAAACACTGATTTAATCATGTAATGTTTATACATGAATACTAGATAAAATTGATCTATAAAAAGGTATGTATTTAGAAATTATGTGTTTCTTGTTGTCAATCTGAGGTCTGTGCTGATATGGTTGTTTTAATTCTATCAATATTACACCTGATTTATGTTAATTTTTCAGTATCAGACCTGATTAAACTGTTACCCTATCAGAGTGTTGTCTAGATAGAAATGTTTACTTATAAACTGATAACATTGTGATTGTTATATAAGATAAGATTATTTGAATGAATATATAAAACAGTTGAAATGATCGGAATACAATTATAAAACAATGCCTTGCTTGTATTTGTAGAAAATAATTCCAATAAAACAATTTGTTCCTTGCCATTGATATGTTGACAATGAATGCACAGATTTTCAGAATTTGGAATTGTTGAAATGTAAAGAAAAGATACAATGTAAAGAAGGTTTAACTTCGTGATTATTCTGGTGCCATTCACATATGCTAATGTAACAAACTGGACTGATTACAATTTCTGGAATTTGGACTAATCCTTATTTTTTCAGTTGTCCTTATGGCAAAGAGCTTGTATAAAGCATTTTTTAACATAATCTTGAAAAGAAGAAACCAAATCCTCTAAAATTGAAAGAAAAAACACGAGCCAGTATCATTGATAGGAAAAATTATTTGCAATTTATTCAAGGATACACGACTTGACACCAGAAAATATCCAAATGCCAGTGTGTTATCTAGGTTGTTCGATTAGATCTCTGTGATGATGGAATTTAAAGAGTTTAAAATTTACCCTATCAGATGTCCTCACTTTTCACCCAAGATACCACCAATGATTGACCTTCAGGTAATCTTTGTTGGACATAAGATGTATACCACGAGGCTGCTATGACAACACTCCTAACTTTACATCACCTCTGTAAAATTCTGATTGTACATGAGAGATCACTCTGTTATCTGTCTATCTGCGCCTATAGTTTGCAACATTTCAACATTCCATGATTTATAATAACTTACTATACACTAAATGGTGCTCTTTACACCATTTGTTCATTTAGTGTATCAATATAATATACGGTTATTGCTTAGGTAATGTACCTCTACATAATGTAATAAATTCCTGACAACACCATACATCCCTTTCTGTATGTTCTTTTCTGTATCTATTACAGTGATAAAAAAATACTCATCATGGTGAGAATCTTTTAACTTTTTGGCTCATTATTTGCAGCACATTTGACAGACATTCAAAATGAATGGAAATTTATTCTAAATGGTTCAAGAATATCTTTTTTAATCATGAAAGTGACATTTTATAAATCACTGATTGCTGAGCTTTAATCCTCTTTTATATACATATGAGCATGAAAGACAACCTATGAAAGGAAATATGATGTGTTGTGGAGGTGTTGTCACATCGAGCATAAATAATTACTGCAGACTTGATATCTGTAAGTTGTGTACTCAAAAGTCTGAAGTGAAAATATCATTACGTGATTATTAAAGGGGAAATTTTGTCTATGTATCACAAATACATTGTTTATAACTGTTTCGTTGTAACCAGTGGCAATAAACATGACATGTATAAGACTTCCAAAGCTAAGAATTGTAGTGACATTTAATACATATCTCTTTCTGGGCTCAGATGCATTATATTTTATTACCATAACAGTTTTTGTTCTGACTTTCAGTATTTCTTAACATGTTACGAGCTTGTTGAAATTGTTTTGTTGTCATTCGAATAACTAGGATGTGACTCATTTGTTTTCATCTTGGTAAGAGGATGTCTGTGAAGAAATTATGCCAAAATCTACATAATTATACAATAATAAATTTTGTAATATTTTACATTTAAATGTCATTTAAAAAGTTCAAGTGTGTATTTAGGACATCAGGAAGCTTTGTGACATGTGCTTTTCCATACCTTCCCAAATACTTAAGTGATAAGATCAGTGTATTGCCAAGTTGGCAGTTCCTACACCATCACGTTTACGTGGGTAGGTAACAGGTAGAATTATTCTGATGTACAGGTGTGGCGTGATTGTAGATTAGAAGATGGTAACCATGTACACAACAAACCATACAGGCCGTATTTCCTTATGATAGTATCCACCCTGTCTGGTAAAGGTCAGCTCTCTATTGCATTAGTATTAATATACAAACCTATCACAGAATGTCAACAATTACTTGGTTACAGTATACATTATAAACAAATAGTCATGCACATCAATATACACTAAAAGTAGATGGCAATAAGTTCTCTCTATCATGACTTCAACAATGACAAAATAGTCATATTAATGTTTTTATATAGATATTTCAAGTGTATATGAAAGCAAGACCATTTGGAAATATTTTTCAAATATGAAATATCCATGTTTGTGAAAATGGTTCTTTTTAAGGGTACATGACACATATGGTATAAACAGATTGAAGGTGAAATATTTGTTATTGTTTAGAACATATTGGTTAGTTGCAAAAGCAAGACATATAATTTGTGGCCTGTGTATCATGACCCTTGCTGACACTGACACATTATGCAAATGAAATCAGGGTCACTACCATGACCTCAAAAATGTACACCAGCAGCAATTATTGTTGATTTACATGTTGCATTCCATTGTAATATTAGCCAAATTTATCATTTATTAGTTGAATGATTAAACATGTTGATGTTTTTAAAATCTATTTTTAAAAAACTTGAATTGTTTTGATGTGAAGAAGAATTAAGTCATCACTCTGTCTTACATTTGTGAATAAACATTGTAGATATTGTATATTTACTGTTGCACACAGAAAAAAATCAAAGCTTTACACTTTTACTGCAGCTTTTAAGATATTTTTAGAAAGCTAAATAGGTTTGGTTTTTCCCTTACCATTTTTAGGCCATCAATTTCTTACTTGCCAAAAATCAACATACATTGGATGTTAGTGAAGTAGACAAACATTTGAAACAACTGCAAGAATTTATTTATGCCCATCTTATGACTCATATGAAAATTTTTTTTAGTGTCTTCATGTGTAAAGTGTTTTCTATAAGATTTCATGTGTAAGGGGGGATGGTTGAACAGTATCAACAACATAATGTGGTCAAGTAATCAGAAAATACCTTATGTATCTTCTGACAATATTATAAGATCTTTGATCAGTTTCACAAACCTATCTCTAACATTTTGTAGGTGAAGCCATATTCCAGATAGCAGAGGCACAGAGAGATATTCAAGCCAGAATAGAAGAAAGTGTAAGTGTGCTTCCAAACTATCTTGAAGATACTTGAACAGAAATTCTGCATGCAATGTTAATAATTCAGAGAAAATGACAGAGGAAGTTTTCATTCCCATTGTCTCCTTCCTTCCCCACAGATTTGAACTACTTAAGGTACAACAATTGTATTTATTCTGCGATAAGACCAGGGGGGGGGGGGGGGGGGGGGGGGGGGTGGCATTCTAACTCAAAGGCAAACTACATCAATCTTTAATAATATGGCAGTATTATAGGTGGGATGTGAAGTTGGGAGGGGGAATGGGGCATTTTTCTCTGAAATAGTGAACATTGTCTATGCGAATGACACACCTTGACATCTATTGGCTGAAAAATTTTAATTGTTTCTATAGTAACAGGTTAAGGTTACGTTAGTTATCCTTCAGTAAGTTGACTCACAATACCTGTCTGATGTAGGGGTTGACCTTATTACAGGATGATGACATAGTAGTTATTGGCATTTTTTCTGAAACTGCAAGTTGTGTGTGGATGGGCCAATTTCCAGGCATTGGCTGATTACCTGCTAAATAGGGTGACCTTAAAGCTTATTGTTACCTGAAGTTATTGATGGTTATTAACATGGAGTTGATTCCAGGTGATTTCAGTATTTGTTAAATATCCCCCTTACTTACATAAATACTGTATACTGACTACATTAAACAGCTGTGAGTGAAGGCAGGTCCTTCCAATGTTGTTTATTAGGTGTATTTGTCATGTATAGATATTGTGAGGTTATAAAATCCTCATAGTGCAAACCAGAATACATTCCCCACTGTTTACAAACAAGGTGTTCAACCTTTCAATATTGGAGTAGTTCCTGGAGTAATTTATGCCAGCTTTAACACTGTCACCTATAGTAGTTGCTCAACTTGCAAGTTAAAGTAATATCAAATGTCAAAAATATCACACTTCAAATTTAATGTGTATGAAAATTAATTTGGTGATCAAATCTTGTGAGGAAGTTTTAAACTGTAATTGATGAAAATTGCTCAGGTGAATTACACATTTACCTGAGATTCTTTCGATCTTCATTTTTGAGATGAAAAAGCTGACTGAATTAGATATTCTGACCAGTATACTTAATTTTACACAAGTTGGCAAATCACTGTCAGTATACCAGGTTCTTTAAAATGGTAGACTTATTCACCACGTGTGTGATGGTAAATTGCTTGGATTCAGCAGGTTTACATACCTTCAGTGCTGAATATTATGCAGAACAAATCGGAAGTGCTTCTGAATGTTTCTTCACCAGTATTTCAACCCCTGCCTCATGAGTCATTAAAAAATGTTGAAATTTTCAAAAATATCGTAACTTACAAAACCTAAATTCTTTCAAATTTTGAAAATGTGATGAGAATAATATTCACATCATGGCAGATTTGCCCAATGTCATTATACAGTATTATAATGATATTAGGTAAACTGTATGTCTCTCTACATTAAGCAGGTTGTACTGGCAAATTGCCTGATCACAACAGAAGTAGAGGATACTTTAGCTCTCTACCAACATTTACATGACTGTGGATGAAATATTGATTGTGAACTAATTAATGTCCTCCCTTTATGTTTAGCTTCAAGTGGTTACAAGACTTTTTTAATCAAAATATCAGACCTGAATCAAAATAACTTTGAGAAAAGACATTCTATGTATTATTGATCCATTCACCAAAAGTTAGTATGGAACAATCTTTTCTAACTACTGATGAAAAAGATAAAGGAATTTGATGACTTGAACAAACAAGCCTAAGTGATCTTTATAATCATGGCTAGATTTCTGTGCCAAGTAAATAACAATTTTGAGACTAAATTCTTTCCCAGGTGCTTTACGCTGTCAGCAATTATGTTAGGAATATTTACTGGCAAATTACTTAAAATGGAATAAAATGTATTGTGGTCACCAACCAGAAAGCAGCGGAGTACAATTTACCTGTATTTACCTAGCAGATTTATGTAATGGACACTCGCGTCTGTTTACCTTAGACAGATTGCTAACCAAGTAAATACACTTAATGTGATAAATCAGTGTAAAATCCGTCTCCATCATAAAACACATACAATTCTCTGGATGGTGCTTTATATTCCAAGCTTTAACTTTTTTATATCTTCCTCCTCAGAACACAAAGCAATGTACTTTAGGCTTAAATCATGTTAATTCCCCCCTAATGATAGGACTATTTATTCCTGATAAAATGATGTATATGTATAAGCTTGATATTATTGTAATGTACTTCTTCCTTCAGTTTCATATTTTGCCATTAGAGCTGAAATTGATGCCTTTTATCCTGTATCAAATTAGATTTCCAAATCAGAAAGGCAAAACATGATGATAAAAGATTAAATTGGCCACGTTTATGACACATAATTTTCTAAAGAAGTTTGAGTATTGTAAGCTGTAAATTGATCTGTAAGGTTTTTGTGTTGCCCTATATTGTGACAAAATTAAAACACATTGGGTTAAGATGTTTTATTTTAGTGGTTCAAAGTTACATCATTATTCCACCAGCTTAAAGAATACCTGGAATATCTTAACAGAAATATGAAACAGACTTTGGTTTATTATATTAATTTTATTTTCGAAATGTATGTTGTTTGCGATTTTATTTCATCCCTGAAACTGTTCAAAATGTTCAGGACCATCAGTTCACAAGACAGATAACACAAATATGTATTGGTAATGTGTATCATATCATAATAAATTGAATCTGGTTGTGAACAAGTTAATCTTACACATTTGAAGTTTTTCTATTGTTAGAGTATTATCAAAACGTGTCGTTACTCAGTGACAAAACATTATACATCACAACAATATCTCAGGAGATGAATAAAAACAGGATAGTCATCTAGAAACATATGCAGAATTGATGTCTCTTTCACGAAATAGAAGTTGGTGGTAACCTTCCTGAACTGAACCATATGTTACTGGCACATCAACCACTGTCAACGTTCAAGAGCTGAGTCTAAATCAGTGCTATAAGGTCTATAAACTATGTTATCATTTGTTAAAATTTGGTGGATAGACCAGGAACACAAATTTCAAAATAAAATCTCACGAAATTCAAACCCATCATAAATTGTCTCATTTTCTTATCTGGAGACTTTCAATGATGATAAAACTAATACAACTTTTCTGTCTTTTCGGAGAGCATTTCCTTATGTAAAGCATGTTATTGTAACATCAAACAGTTTTTGGTAAAGGAATAAGCTTCTAAACTATGTATCTAAATTGAAAAGTTAAAATGCCCATGAATTGTTTGATGCCATGATTTGAATGAATAGAAAGATAAGTGCCCTATTACCTGGCTACAGAGTGTATGATATTGATGAGGAAATGATCGTATCATTTGATGAATTCAGGTAGATATTATGACCTTTATCTATTTCAGACAAAGGCTTTATTTTCTGAGCTTATTTTACCCTTGGAGCAGAAACTGGAAAATGAATTCCGAAGATCATCTGTAAGTAACGAGAGGTTCATGTCCTCACACTGTTATCATAAGGTTCATGTCCTCACACTGTTATCATAAGGTTCATGTCCTCACACTGTTATCATAAGGTTCATGTCCTCACACTGTTACCATAAGGTTCATATCCTCACACTGTTATCATAAGGTTCATGTCCTCACACTGTTATCATAAGGTTCATGTCCTCACACTGTTATCATAAGGTTCATGTCTCACACTGTTATCATAAGGTTCATGTCCTCACACTGTTATCATAAGGTTCATGTCCTCACACTGTTATCATAAGGTCTGTTTATATAGAGACTTGTTATGCAAATGGTTGAACATTTGTCACACAATTTAGCATTTCAAAGTGGAGAATAAAATGAAATGAAATATAAAACTAACATAACTTTGAATCAACTGATTCGCCCATAGCAACTGTGCTTTTTGCTGGTTAAGTTGGAATGTTTTACCTTCTTGTTCTTTTTATCAGATTGTTTATCCTTGGTGTGTTTGTATCAGATTGTTTATCCTTGGTGTGTTTGTATCAGAGTGTTGAGTCTTGGTGTGTTTGTATCAGAGTGTTGAATCTTAGTGTGTTTGTATTGGAGTGTTAAGTCTTGGTGTGTTTGTATTGAGAGACTGTTGAATCTTGGTGTGAATCTTGGTGTGTTTGTATCTTGGTGTGTTAATTCTGTTAATTCTTGTTTGTATTGGAGTGTTCTTGGTGTGTGTTTGTTAGTCTTGGTGTGTTTGTATCAGAGTGTTGAATCTTGGTGTGTTTGTATTGGATTATTGAGTCTTGGTGTGTTTGTATCAGAGTGTTGAGTGTTGAGTCTTGGTGTGTTTGTATCAGAGTGTTGAGTCTTGGTGTGTTTGTATCAGAGTGTTGAGTCTTGGTGTGTTTGTATCAGAGTGTTGAGTCTTGGTGTGTTTGTATCAGAGTGTTGAGTCTTGGTGTGTTTGTATCAGAGTGTTGAGTCTTGGTGTGTTTGTATCAGAGTGTTGAGTCTTGGTGTGTTTGTATCAGAGTGTTGAGTCTTGGTGTGTTTGTATCAGAGTGTTGAGTCTTGGTGTGTTTGTATCAGAGTCTTGAGTCTTGGTGTGTTTGTATCAGAGTGTTGAGTCTTGGTGTGTTTGTATCAGAGTGTTGAGTCTTGGTGTGTTTGTATCAGAGTGTTGAGTCTTGGTGTGTTTGTATCAGTTGAGTCTTGGTGTGTTTGTATTGAGTGTTAATCTTGGTGTGTTTGTATCAGAGTGTCTTGGTGTGTTTGTATCAGAGTGTTGAGTCTTGGTGTGTTTGTATCAGAGTGTTGAGTCTTGGTGTGTTTGTATCAGAGTGTTGAGTCTTGGTGTGTTTGTATCAGAGTGTTGAGTCTTGGTGTGTTTGTATCAGAGTGTTGAGTCTTGGTGTGTTTGTATCAGAGTGTTGAGTCTTGGTGTGTTTGTATCAGAGTGTTGAGTCTTGGTGTGTTTGTTCAGAGTGTTGTCTTGGTGTGTTTGTTCAGAGTGTTAGTCTTGGTGTGTTTGTATCAGAGTGTTGAGTCTTGGTGTGTTTGTATCAGAGTGTTGAGTCTTGGTGTGTTTGTATCAGAGTGTTGAGTCTTGGTGTGTTTGTATCAGAGTGTTGAGTCTTGGTGTGTTTGTATCAGAGTGTTGAGTCTTGGTGTGTTTGTATCAGAGTGTTGAGTCTTGGTGTGTTTGTTGAGTCTTGGTGTGTTTGTATCAGAGTGTTGAGTCTTGGTGTCTTTGTATCAGAGTGTTGAGTCTTGGTGTGTTTTATCAGAGTGTTGAGTCTTGGTGTGTTTGTATCAGTCTTGGTGAGAGTGTTTGTCTTGGTGTGTTTGTTCAGAGTGTTGAGTCTTGGTGTGTTTGTATCAGAGTGTTGAGTCTTGGTGTGTTTGTATCAGAGTGTTGAGTCTTGGTGTGTTTGTATCAGAGTGTTGAGTCTTGGTGTGTTTGTATCAGAGTGTTGAGTCTTGGTGTGTTTGTATCAGAGTGTTGAGTCTTGGTGTGTTTGTATCAGAGTGTTGAGTCTTGGTGTGTTTGTATCAGAGTGTTGAGTCTTGGTGTGTTTGTATCAGAGTGTTGAGTCTTGGTGTGTTTGTGTGTGTTGTATCAGAGTGTTGAGTCTTGGTGTGTTTGTATCAGAGTGTTGAGTCTTGGTGTGTTTGTATCAGAGTATCATGAGTGTATCAGAGTGTTGAGTCTTGGTGTGTTTGTATCAGAGTGTTGAGTCTTGGTGTGTTTGTATTGGAGTATTGAGTCTTGGTGTGTTTGTATCAGAGTGTTCATTCTTGGTGTGTTTGTATCAGAGTGTTGAGTCTTGGTGTGTTTGTATCAGAGTGTTGAGTCTTGGTGTGTTTGTATCAGAGTGTTGAGTCTTGGTGTGTTTGTATCAGAGTTTTGAGTCTTGGTGTGTTTGTATCAGAGTGTTGAGTCTTGGTGTGTTTGTATCAGAGTGTTGAGTCTTGGTGTGTTTGTATCAGAGTGTTTAGTCTTGGTGTGTTTGTATCAGAGTGTTGAGTCTTGGTGTGTTTGTATCAGAGTGTTGAGTCTTGGTGTGTTTGTATCAGAGTGTTGAGTGTTAAGTCTTGGTGTGTTTGTATCAGAGTGTTGAGTCTTGGTGTGTTTGTATAAGAGTGTTGAGTCTTGGTGTGTTTGTATCAGAGTGTTGAGTCTTGGTGTGTTTGTATCAGAGTGTTGAGTCTTGGTGTGTTTGTATCAGAGTGTTCATTCTTGGTGTGTTTGTATCAGAGTGTTAATTCTTGGTGTGTTTGTATCAGAGTGTTAAGTCTTGGTGTGTTTGTATTTGAGTATTAATTCTTGGTGTTTTTTTATTGGAGTGTTGAGTCTTGGTGTGTTTGTATTTGAGTGTTAATTCTTGGTGTGTTTGTATTGAAACACTACACTGACTGAGCCACATCATATTGTTGGGTGGCCCAAACATTCTTTCATTTTCCGACATTTATTGGTGTTACCTGGTTAGACGAAGAATACACACCAAACAATGATCAACTCCCCTTCCCCATCTAATACTTGATTTGTGAAACCTGTAATTGATTTTGTTGACTATAGATAGAGTACCTGATATCACCTCCCACCTTTGATCAACAGATTATATTGATCATCATATCATTTCTCACCTGTGTTACCAGGTAACAACTGAATATCTTCTAAAAATATAGATAATACAGTCAATACAAAATATATCTTTAAATTATTATATTCACATCACTAAGTTTCAGCTGTTAATGTTTTATACATTACAATTCATCAGATAGATTTTATGAACCTGAATCTCGAGCCTGGTCCAATAACCATTTGATAGATTTACAGTGCATTTAACCTGCATAATGGTTGATTTGAACAATACTTGAAGATAGATAGAGTTTCAGGTAACAGAATACAAATGCAAGAATCAGAATAAAATTTGTGTCATGGGAATACATTGTATATAAACATATTGATTGCATTTGTCTGCTTTAGATATGTTGGCTTTGACAGGACATTTGATCGGATGTCATCTTCTGACTTCTGACATTAATGTTTTGTCTGGGCCATAACTTCTTTTCTTTTTTACTTAAGTTCACCAATCTCTTTATACCTCTGTATGTTAGGAAAGCAGTCTGGAACATCTTGAATTAGGTGTTGTGCCTATTTATATTCAGTTATGACCCTTATTATTGTAACATGTAACATTTCATTAATATCACCGTATCAAAATTTATGGGTTTTTTCAAGAACAAATTTCATAACACCTTGTATTCATTGATACTCAATGATCGGTGTATCAAAACTCGTTCTCACTTGTTCCTAATGTCATGTGATTGGCCCTCTCTGTGGTCAGTGAGGTAGCCACCAGCTTTGAAACACTCTTTACTATAAGGAGACCCTGCTTCAAAATGACCATGGGTGTTGATAGGGCGATCAATTTAACCCTGCACAGACTGATTTCAGTCCAGTATAATCAGTTATATTATGTAAATATGATTCTTTGCAGAAGATATAAATTTCAGTTCATAAGTCTTTATGTCATATATTTTCATGACAGGTCCAACATAAAAAGTACAACCATGGTCACAAAACTGTCCTGGTGCCCTATGCCAAAGCTCACGACTCCCTTAGGAAGTTCAGAAAGAAAACTAAGAATAAACTTGTGTATGATGAACAAAAGGAAGGACAGGTATGTTGTTTAGTTATATATTAAAGTTTAATTATGATGTCCCTATTGGAGCCCAATTGTTTTATGGCTGATTTTCAGAATGTACTACTTAATGTTTTTATAATGAGATAAAGAGTGATAAAAGCTCTGAATCAACAATGAAATGTGTGCCTGTGTATTGTGTAAATGTTTTTACATTGCTCTAAAATACAAACTTCCATGAGGATGAAACAAGGGTAATTGATAAAGTTCTACATTGTATTTAGTGCACTTGTGTAAGAAACTAAACAGTACTTTTGATGAAATTCCATATGTTTGGGTCGAGGAATCATTGTTTTACATGCTAAGTATGAGCTTTGTAGAAAGGATATGTAATGTACTTCAGGTTTAAAAATCATGCTTCATGTTTAGGAAAAGTATTGTACTTCATGTTTAGGAGGGAATATTGTACTTCATGTTTAGGAGAGAATATTGTACTTCATGTTTAGGAGGGAATATTGTCCTTCATGTTTACGAGGAATATTGTACTTCATGTTTACGAGGAATATTGCACTTCATGTTTAGGAAGAATATTGTCCTTCATGTTTAGGAGGGAATATTGTCCTTCATGGTTACGAGGAATATTGTCCTTCATGTTTACGAGGAATATTGTACTTCATGTTTACGAGGAATATTGTACTTCATGTTTAGGAGGAATATTGTACTTCATGTTTACGAGGAATATTGTACTTCATGTTTAGGAGGGAGTATTGTACTTCATGTTTACGAGGAATATTGTACTTCATGTTTAGGAGGAATATTGTACTTCATGTTTACGAGGAATATTGTACTTCATGTTTACGATGAATATTGTGCTTCATGTTTACGAGGAATATTGTACTTCATGTTTACGATGAATATTGTGCTTCATGTTTACGAGGAATATTGTGCTTCATGTTTAGGAGGAATATTGTACTTCATGTTTACGAGGAATATTGTACTTCATGTTTAGGAGGAATATTGTACTTCATGTTTACGAGGAATATTGTACTTCATGTTTACGATGAATATTGTGCTTCATGTTTACGAGGAATATTGTGCTTCATGTTTAGGAGGAGTATTGTACTTCATGTTTACGATGAATATTGTGCTTCATGTTTACGAGGAATATTGTGCTTCATGTTTAGGAGGAGTATTGTAATTCATGTTTAGGATGAACTATATATGTAATACTTAGGGTGGGTAAAGCTCTTCATGCTGAGAACAAGTAATATACTTCATGTTTAGGATGAGTAATGTTCTTTGCGTTTAGGATCACTGATGTACTTCAGGTTTAGGATGAGTAATGTTCTTCGTGTTTAGGATCACTGATGTACTTCAGGTTTAGGATGAGTAATGTTCTTTGTGTTTAGGATCACTGATGTACTTCAGGTTTAGGATGAGTAATGTTCTTCATGTTTAGGATCACTGATGTACTTCAGGTTTAGGATGAGTAATGTTCTTTGTGTTTAGGATCACTGATGTACTTCAGGTTTTAAGGATGAGTAATATTCTTCGCGTTTAGGATCACTGATGTATTTCAGGTTTAGGATGATTAATGTTCTTTGTGTTTAGGATCACTGATGTACTTCATGTTTAGGATGAGTAATGTTCTTCGCGTTTAGGATCACTGATGTACTTCAGGTTTAGGATGTGTAATGTTCGTCATTTTTAGGATCTTTGATGTACTTCAGGTTTAGGATGAGTAATGTAACTTAATGCTTTGGTTGAATAATACATATATACTTAAGGTTTAAATTTTGGTTACTCCTGTTATCACAGAAAATTCACTAACATCCTCATATGGTTTGTCAGTATTTCTTATTGGTTAATCTCAGAAAACCTTCATTACCTTTGTCTTAAATGTGTTTCAGGTATCAAATAAAATAATGGAAAAACTGGTTTGAGTAACTTGCATGTAATCAAAGTTGCTGAATATCCAAAATATTTGTAGATATTCTTGTAATTTCACCTCAGTGCAACAGTACCTAGTTAGTGAACATTGAATCTTTAGTCAAGGAAATGATTTGTATTTAAAATTCTAAATCTAGGAAAAGTTTTGTGTTAACTCTTAAGCAACATTTTTTTTCCCCAGTATGTAAAAACATTGAGTAAATGTCAGGAAAAACTGGATGAATTCCGCGTGCAAGGTTTGAAGCTCGTAAGTACACACATATTGCTTACTTAGTTCCATTAACTATAGATATTGGATATGCATTAATGATTGAAACATACTGAATGTTGTTTTAAAACAACAAGTTTCATTTCCAACTTCCTGTACTTTCAGAGTTTGGATAATTTATTTAAAGATTTTAAATATTTCTTTCTAATTTACTGTACTTCAAGTTTCTGATCTGTCAAAGCAATAATTCTCTCATTGCTGTTATTAAATGACATTTTAGTCCGTCATATATCTGAGTTTTCAAAATCGATACACTTGATATCAGTACAAGGCTTGGTAGTGTACTGAACATTTAACATGTATTTTCTGAGGCAAACAAATGACATAACAATCAATATAATGTATTTACAGATAACTGGTAGATAACTCTGCATTAAGAAAAGATAAAATGTTTCTTACATAATATCATTTTCTTCAAGTTTTGTCACTGATGAATATATTGTACCTGCAGGCTTTACTCGAGGAAAGGAAATGTCATTGTTTCTTGTTAGAGCGACTCTCCAGTATAGCAAGCATGAATGCAGCACATCACAGACAGGTAGGTCAAAGGTTATATTTATTTGACCTCTGGCCAAGTGTAAGATTCATGTATGTCCGCAAGTATGTAACAGCATTGAATCTGGATGAAAGAATACAATATGTAGTGGAAATAATAATTATAAATAATTTTTGAGAAGGAAATAGCCATTTTGAAACAATATTTGGTTAATTATTATGTTTAATAAAGTCCTTATAATGTGTTGTAGGCAACAGAGATGCTGTCTATGGGATTGCCAAGCTGGCGACACCTATCAGCCAAGCCTCACATCTTACCCGCGGAGGCTGACAGGTTACTCATGATACAGAGGGTATGTCATTGGTCAGTCCTTAACCCAGGGGGCTTACAGGTTACTCATGATACAGAGGGTATGTCATTAGTCTGTCCTTAACCCCTGGGGCTGACAGGTTACTTATGATATAGAGGGTATGTCATTAGTCAGTCATTAACCCTTAGGCTGACAGGTTACTCATGATACAGAGGGTATGTCATTAGTCAGTCCTTAATCCCCGGGGCTGACAGGTTACTCATGATACAGAGGGTAAGTCATTAGTCAGTCCTTAATCCAGGGGGCTGACAGGTTACTCATGATACAGAGGGTATGTCATTACTCAGTCCTTAACCCCTGGGGCTTACAGGTTACTCATGATACAGAGGGTATGTCATTAGTCTGTCCTTAACCCCTGGGGCTGACAGGTTACTTATGATACAGAGGGTATGTCATTAGTCAGTCCTTAACCCCCGGGGCTGACAGGTTACTTATGATACAGAGGGTATGTCATTAGTCTGTCCTTAACCCAGGGGGCTTACAGGTTACTCATGCTACAGAGGGTATGTCATTAGTCTGTCCTTAACCCCTGGGGCTTACAGGTTACTCATGCTACAGAGGGTATGTCATTAGTCTGTCCTTAACCCCCGGGGCTGACAGGTTACTTATGATACAGAGGGTTTGTCATTAGTCTGTCCTTAACCCCTGGGGCTGACAGGTTACTTATGGTACAGAGGGTATGTCATTACACAGTCATTAACCCTGAGGCTGACAGGTTACTTATGATACAGAGGGTATGTCATTAGTCTGTCCTTAACCCAGGGGGCTTACAGGTTACTTATGATACAGAGGGTATGTCAGTGCTCAGTCCTTACCCCTGGAGCTGACAGTACTAGTCATGATACAGAGGGTATGTCATTAGTCTGTCATTAACCCTGAGGCTGACAGGTTACTTATGATACAGAGGGTATGTCATTAGTCAGTCATTAACCCTGATGCTGACAGGTTACTCATGATACAGAGAGTATGTCGTTAGTCAGTCCTTAACCCAGGGGGCTTACAGGTTACTCATGATACAGAGGGTATGTCATTAGTCTGTCCTTAACCCCTGGGGCTGACAGGTTACTTATGATATAGAGGGTATGTCATTAGTCAGTCCTTAATCCCCGGGGCTGACAGGTTACTCATGATACAGAGGGTAAGTCATTAGTCAGTCCTTAATCCAGGGGGCTGACAGGTTACTCATGATACAGAGGGTATGTCATTACTTTGTCCTTAACCCCCGGGGCTTACAGGTTACTCATGATACAGAGGGTATGTCAGTGCTCAGTCCTTACCCCTGGAGCTGACAGTACTAGTCATGATACAGAGGGTATGTCATTAGTCAGTCATTAACCCTGAGGCTGACAGGTTACTCATGATACAGAGAGTATGTCATTAGTCAGTCCTTAACCCAGGGGGCTTACAGGTTACTCATGATACAGAGGGTATGTCATTAGTCTGTCCTTAACCCAGGGGGCTGACAGGTTACTTATGATACAGAGGGTATGTCATTAGTCAGTCCTTAACCCAGGGGGCTTACAGGTTACTCATGATACAGAGGGTATGTCATTAGTCTGTCCTTAACCCATAGGGCTTACAGGTTACTTATGATACAGAGGGTATGTCATTAGTCAGTCATTAACCCAGGGGGCTTACAGGTTACTCATGATACAGAGGGTATGTCAGTGCTCAGTCCTTAACCCCCGGGGCTGACAAGATTGCTCATAATACATATATGTCAGTTCTTATTCTTGATATAGAAGGTGAATTTTTCTATCCAAACACTTCCTAAAGAAATGCCACTAGTTGCTATATCATTGTCTTGTGTTATGCATAAAGCTTTTCTTTAATCAGATTTTATGCATTTGGTACACCTTGACTTTTTACTTGAGATGATATGGTAATTATTATTTTTTGATTGTAGGATGAGGAGTTTGAGCATGCAAATGGATCTATATACCGTGTCAGTAATGGGTATGTACCTGATGAGACTCGATCTGTAGGTACACCCTATAGGAGATCCAGGAGCTACCATGATGGGCCTCGAACACCAATGGACTACAACGGAGATTTTTCATATGGTACACATTCTTGAAACACAGTATTATACAAAATCGCTACGCAGCACTCTCAGTTAATCCTTAATGCTGTGTGCCACAGACTAAAGTAATTTTCTTAATCCTAATTTATCTGTAAAAACTACTGCGTTTTTAGTGTAGCAAGAACACCTGCATCCATATGAAGTTATATAGTGTTGAAACAATTTAAAGTGTAAAGATGCTGGGAGGGACCAAGGCCCAATTTCATATGACTTTTGTCTGAGAAAATCAGATTTAGACAAAAATAAATCCTTTTTAGAAATGCAAACAAAAGGAAAACTGGCATGTTGATTCAAGTGAATCTAACAGAATCTTTCTGTATTACAGCAACAAGAACCATGCCCCCATCACGGGGTATCAGTGTACCTCCTCCCCCTCCCCCGGGCCAGTCCCAGGTGAGAGCAATCTATACACATGCTGCTGAGGGAGAGAGTAAGCTCAGCTTCACAGAGGGCGATGTCATCAACCTTATAGGCGAGCCTTCCGATGGATGGCATTATGGACTAAATAACCGCAGTGGCAGGTCAGTGGTCATTCTGTTACAAAAAGATATAAAAGGGGCAAATTACACCTTTCAGGTGAAAATTTGCCGACACTTGTCCAAATATAAGTTCATTTTGTTAAGATTTTTTACATGAAATTTCTGATTTGTAGAAAACAAAACTTCTTTGGTTAAAATTAAATTCTTGGAAGGAAAACCAGAAAACTGTACAGAACATATGGTTTTACAGCTCTTCATTTAAGTAACTGCTTGATGTGTGTGCTTGTCCCTCATTACTACAGGTATGGCTGGTTTCCCCTGTCCTTTACAGAGCCAATGATAGACATGCAAGGCAGAGAACAGTATGTATACCTTGATTATTAGGAATTACTGCTAATATTGCCACTCAGTCCTGGTCAATCTGCAATACAGTGTGTTTATGTAACAAAAGAGGGAAAATACACTATTACCATTTTAATCTTGTCTAGTTGACATTTCCTGTCAGCTTATAGACAAAATAAAAAAAATGGCTATTTATAGCATCATCAGTACATCAGTAGCATCAAAGTATTTATAAAAAACATGATTTTTGTGACTTTACAAATGCCTTTTTTCTGAAACTCTATGGATAGGATCAGAGATGCTTAGCAAGAACAGAAATTCATCCAATTGCTTTGGAACTTCAAACTAGTGTTATATTTGCCTAATTAGGTATAAATAGGTTATTTTCAATTTACTTTTTCAGAATGGGTCATCGTGTAAAGAGCATGGGTGATCTAGACACAAGATCACTTTCCGATGGTGGAAGCTTTCTAGTTGATGGAGATATTCCTGGAGCTGCGCGACGTCCAAAGTCTGTTTACGAGGGTTCTGGACTAAGACTTGTTAACAATCCAACTCAGGTAACATAACCTTTTACCTTTGTATGTGTAAATACTTTTTGTTTTGGGTTTTAAATCTATCAGTAGGTGCTACAGGTGTTGGACCCACCTTTTAAAATGAATTAGGGGCAGGAATGCACCTAATGATGTAATTGCGCCTTATGGTTTTTTGATGCTGCTAGAACTTGTTTTAATCATCAGATATGTTTGGTAATTATTTAACTTGTTTCAAAATTAATAAAACAAGCTACCCGCTAAAAATATATTACTACACATTTCATCAATTGTACTTACTGCCAGTTATTGCAACCTCTTGAAATATTTTCTTAAATTCAACTTTTTTTCAATTTCACTATTATGACTGATGGCTTTCTCAGGCAAGTGTTTTTCAAAAACATACCTATAATAAATATCAGAATATTGAATATTAATCAAGTTCTATGTTATTTTACACATGTTGCCTTCTATGTAATACCAATAATTTCATTCAACAGTTCAGTTGGTATCTTTATAATTTTGCATCAATAATTTGATACACATTGTGTTATTGATATCTGCAATATTTCAGTTTGATATAAAATCTGTAATATTTATTTAATTTGGATTGATGCACAATCACATGATGATCACTTCATCATGTTTTTGTTATTATGTTTATTCACATTGATTTCAGCCTATTGTTGAAGAGCTATCTCACCATTAGTATAGCAATATATAGAATATAGTAGGTATATAATCACCTCCAGCTCACACTTTGTTAGACCTGTCACCTCATCACCGGTATCATCTATACTTCAATTCTGTCGCCATCTTATACATTAATATAGTTACAGGTGATCTGTTAAGATTTAGAATGCAAAATTTTTCATGTATGGAATCCTTTATACATTCTTGGTCTGATCAAGAATTGATAGGAAAGCTAATACTATGTTTGACCAGCAGATTGATTCCTGTCCAGAAAAAGTCAATTCTCTATGGTTATTTTCTATTATCAGATTAGTCAGAAATAACAAAAACTGTTATGAAACTTTCTTCATAAAATACAAAAGAAAAAAAAGATAATTTAATCGATATTATCTATTTCATCTGGAAGTTGTCTACTACCATATTTTCAGATGCTGAAGATTACATATGAATTTATAAATAAATTTTACCATCCAGAGTAAATATTTGACTTACTTCTCCATCAAATAATTCCGTCATGTGAAATTGGTACAAAAAGTACAGAGAGGAAGCAGCCTCATTAACAAGTTTTGATTTTTCAGTCCCGTTCGTATGCTTCTTATGCTGCTGGTGACTGGAACAGCAGCAATTCTGCCAACATGCTAGGGTCCTATTCCCTCCCTCGGCACTCCTCTGCACACGAGCGCAGGTTCTTTCCTGATAACTCTTATGATTTCTTACACCATGATGCACAGGTAGATTGAAATTACATCCCTTGATATAGAGCATGTTAACTGTATCCACCGACACCATGGAATGCTGCATGAATTGTTGGTCAATTCTGATTTGTTCGCACATTCTCTGTTCAAATAAAAGAAAACTGGATTAATTAGAGGTAAAACATGATTAATTACTAAACTTTCACCCTTCTTGCATGTTTTATTTTTTGTTTGTTTACATTTATGAAATAATTAAATGGCATTATTTTGTAGTGGAGGTGGGATAATTTTCAAGTATTTCAGCATTTCATTTCAAGTCACCGATGTAGCCATTTGTTACAGTCAAAGCTATGTCATTCTGGTGCTTCATTGTACACATGCGGTATGTCGCAATTAAGCTAATGAATGTTCAGAAATATCTCACTACATTGAAATGTCTACATTTAGTATTTTTCCTTTTATGGAAGCAAGCAGACAAAATATGTTTATGTCCGTATTCCTGCCTGTTGGTATTGTCACAAATTCAAAGAATGCAGACAAAACCTATGGCCAGTACACAGTTTGTATTTGCAAGTGATTCAAGTGTGTTTGAAGTTTCGCAGTTAAGAAGCACAGGTTCTGCTTATGATTAACATATACATGTGTATCCATGCATGGACCTGAATGTGAGCAATATTCAGTCAAAGAATTCAAACTCGTCACCTGGGATTGACTTGCTGCTAATGTGGTCTGAATAGAATATGATTGTTGGATGAATATGTTGTGAGTAACTTTGATGTGGTCAAGTTTTAATCTGATGTGTAAAGTCCTATGTAGCTATATACAATGTTGTTCACAATGATATTTCACTCATTATCTAATTAGGTAGTTAGAAATGTTTCCTTTTGTTTCTAACAAAGTTAAGGTGAAAAGAATCATTGTAGATATACAAGAAGACTTCTAGAGCTTCATTTATTAGAATACCATGCAAGTATTGAACCTTGGTGCAACATAGAACTAATGGACAATGGTTCAATGCTAAAGTATCATTACACAAAGTCTATTTGTTGAGTCTAATTATGAAGTGAAACGCTGTGTTTATAAAGCTAGAATGGAGTCATGAAAAAAATACATTGCCAGAATTTCAAACAGTTTTCCAGACAGATGTGTTTTCTGTTTATAGTTGCGGCCCACAGTTCCTGTAGTGACTGCCAGTGCCTATCATAGTCCAGGACAAGTACTCTACTCCTCCCTCCCTTCACCCCCTCTCCCTCCTCCTCCACCCCCAATAGCCATGCCTACCATTACCTCTGCATCCACAATCTCACCTGCACCAACTCAATCCACAGCCTCACATGACCCTTTTGTTTTAGCTGGTAGTAATACCTTGTTGCCATCTGCTTTGAGCCGTGCTGCCAGTCTTCGTCGCCTTAACAAGGCAGATGTCTCTCCTGCTCCACCCCCTCCCCCACCCCCTCCTCCTCTACCATCCTCAAATTCATCTGTTCTCTCTCAGAATGTGGCGACCACTTCTGGTTATGGAAACCGTCAATCATCGAGTAATCCTCCTCCCCCTCCACCACCTGTGTCTTCATCATTCCAAGATGACAGCCGGCCAGGACCACCTACTTCAATGCCCCCTCCACCTCCAAAGATGTCCAATGGACAAGGGGGTTCACATCCAGCAGAGGACTACGAAACTGACGAAGAGGACACAAAGTAAAAACATTATTTTGTTGCGGCTTCTAGATGTGGTTAGCTGATCCCAATTTTCATGTTCCAATCCTCTGCTTATTGTTTTCTTTGTACTGAGATTTCCTCTGTCTGTCACACAGATATTTTCCATGTTTATCACTTGCTTTTAAAGACACGCAGAGCAAACTTTAAAAATGGGACATAGTACAGAAATGTAATATCAGAGAAAGAGGTAAGAATAATAATTTTGGTGTTTCTGCAATGCTTGTAAAACAGTGGATCTCCTTTGATTTTGGTTGTCTCCTATCCTCCCTTTGATCGTTTTCTTGTCTTTGTTCTTGTGGTGTTTATAGCAGTGTTAACTGTGCCATTGCTGTGTGGTGTTACACTAGCTGGTATGACCTGGAACCCTATACATGTTGCTTAATCTGTTGCTGCCAGTAAGTTTCTGTGAAGGACATTTGTTGAAAAAGAGGCTGGAGATTCAAAGATTCAAAAGTACAACTTTGATATAATGCCACTTGTTGCATTGTTACCTCCCTTTGCATCACTCTATTGTAAGGTTCGTTTCAATATGTTCCTATACCCATCTATTAAAATAAATGCATGGGTGTGTTTGATGTGGAGTGAATTTCTTCATTTTTGGTCAGATTTCCATAATACATAATCCAAAGACTGTTACAAATGTAATAATAACATGGTAAATTCAGTTGCATTTTCATCCATGACCAGCGAACAGTTGACGTCAAACTCATCAAAACTTTGTTGCACACGAGCACTAAACCAAACTGTGACTTCTGTGATGCCATCTATAGTGTAACCATTCCAAGGTCAAAATTTGGCTGAAATATTGAAATACACAGAGAAAGTATAACAAATTTTACTGTACCTTCCACTCCTACGAATACAAATGTCCACATAGAACAGTAAATAGTAAAATAGTCTGTGGGTAGAGCTAAAGAACGCTTCATCAAGGAGGGCCTATTTGCTGATTGTGGGTAGCTATCTGCGTTTATGTGGTTTTTTGAAGCATGTTCAGTATCGAAAAAGCTATGTGATCCTGGATATCTTCAACAGTAGTTTCTTATTTAAATTGAATCCTTGCAACAGTGGATGTATATGATACATGTATGTAGGAGTATATTTGATATTCAGGTACATGTATAATATTAATTATATCTGGTAGGTTATTTGTATTTTGTGATTTAAAGATTATTCACTTTTTTTTATCTTGTCAAAACTGTACAAGTCACCTGTAGCTTGTAACACATAAATACACACTCATGAGTTCTACTACTCTAGACATGTTTGTTCCACGTGTTTCAGGCTTTAAGAAACAAACAAAGTAACAAACTGGACACCAACTTTTGTTATATATATATATAGCATGTAAAATGTGACATATAGATTAAATATATATGTACTCACAATCATCTGATGTAAACCTCTGTATTTATATAATTTGAAACAAAATAACTTTCTCTTTAGTCATCCAGAACTAGCTTTTACTCATTTATAAATATTAAGATGAGAGCATATATACCAGAGTCTATAACCATGTTTCTGCTGTTTGCATGTACCAGTTTATTTCGTACTTAGACAATGTTGTCATGTTACTATTATGTATGCATGAACTTGAATATTAAAGAATTTATCATTTTTGTCTTCACTATATATCTTTAAAATGTTTAGAAATATATATCAAATAACCTCTCAGATCTGATTATCATTTCAAGTAACCACTTGATTAATAGTGCAGTTGATACAAAATATACAATTTAGACATCTTCTTTGAATGTTCAAAAGGAAAATTTAGAGATAATCATATATTACTATAACCTGGTGCAACAATATTCTTGTTTGTCTCTGTAAGTGTACTCCTTCGTTACATATGTCTTCAATATTGAACAATTCATATAATTCTAAAAAGCCTGATTGATTTTCTTGATTTTCTATTTTCACATTGTGATATTTCATCATACTTTGCTTTGCTACTTTTATCATCATTCATATTACTATCACTGTGTTAATATCTGTTTGTGACCGATCAGGTCTAATTCAGTCAATGTCACTAGGATGGTACAGCGGGTGAGTCATCTCAAGGTCACTATACAGTCTATATTACAGTTATCTCCTCTTTACAATGAAGTGGGTGTCAAACTTAATAAAAATGTTCATCTCCCATAAAACACTCCTCCAGATGAATATTTTATGGGAATAGTGACAGGTCATTGTAGTATAATTATAAGGTTAAAGATATAAGTTAGATTACACTATGTTAGGGCCCACTTCACTTATCATCCTGAATGCATCAATAGATTTAGCTGTGATAAAGGGAGATAACTTGATAGGCATGCTGTATCTATGTTTGTGACCTTTTACTAATATACACTGTTTGAGATATATGAATTAGTAGTACTATACATCAATATACTTCCCTTTCTTTATTGCATGATGAAACCAGTATAATTTTTCCATTATTTTGGTCCTTAACAAGAAATTATTCTGTATCATCAGTAGTATTGGAAAAGGTTCAAATGTAAGCTCAAGCTAGTTAACAAACTCTGAGCCATTGTTTCTGTTTGTTTGTACTGAATGCTTCAATCTGGATTTTGGTTATGGGTTTTTCTCAATGTTTATATATCATGTAGAACTTATAGTTATCATTGTCAAGGATAACAAAGGTCCTCATTAAATGTCAAGGTTATTGAAAGTTTATTATTGGTACAATGTAAAAAGATACAATGTCTAAGTTGTATAAATACATTAGACAGGTAAGTTTGGTACAAAGCACAAGTCATGAAAATTATTATTTATTAATGCTCAAGCATCGGGAACTGTGTCCCTATGAATTGAATACCATAGAGCGTAAGAGTTGTTTAGAAGGGAATTTATGTAAACCATGAAAGACCTTTACAATTCATCAGAACCATTTGACCTGCTGAAATCTTACACTGAAAAATAGGATTGACACATGCCTTTACTTCAAATTAGTTTGTGTTGGTGGTTTTAATGTAGCAATCAATATTTATATCCTAACATGGCTTATAGGCTTGTGCATCACACATCACCTATGAAATATGATCAGTCAATCAGAAGAGTCATGCTATAGAGTAAAGTTCATCATTATCTTTGTCACAGTAGAAAAGTATTTTGATGATAATGTATTAATGCTTGTTGTTGTCTCTAAATGTAACCTAATATATCTTAGTGTTCAAAATAATTGCTCCAAACATACACATTTTCTTATGATGCTGATGTCATTTCATGCTGTTTATAAATGTTACCAGATGACTGTTAAGGTCTCATTTTATTTTATGTATATGTCTTGTGTGCATAGTCTCTTTGCAATAAAGCAAAGGTCAAGACTATATTTAATGACTTGAATTAGTTCATTTTGATTTTTTTAAAATGTTTTGCTTTCAGAAAATCTTATTTGAGATGTAAACATCTTTCAGGTTTCAGGCGATTTAGCATTATCATTTTTATGTTTCTGCAATAATAATGTGTATAAATGTATATTTGTTTAATATCTTCTGAAATAAAGGTATAACCACATTCTTTCATATCTTTGCAGAAAAGAAATGCTTAAGTTGAAATGATTCCAATTCTTCATATTACTATCCATATTGTTGTAAATCAACATGCAAAAGTATTATGCTTTGTTATAATACTATACTGTTCTAGTATCCATGTAAATCTGTAAAATACAGAAGAATTAATTTGTTTTGTTTTGCTTTAATTTGGTTCCTTTACATGCTTGTAGGATATGGAATCTGTGCATTGATCCTGGTTACCAATACTGTTTTCTTTATTCTTGTAGCTTCAAAAGAAATCCTAAGTTTGCATCAGTGAATCTGAAGAAGACAGTAACAAATGACAGATCAAAGCCAAGGATATGACAAGGACCTTACACTTCAATGAACCTGTATAACCAGTTTCACAGGAGATCTCCAGGAAAAGCTAACAAATACCATGTAGGAAGTTTATATAACTTCATTGTTATTCTATCGTTTTTTTTTTTTTAATAACTTAACTAAATATTTTACAATAATAATGAAACAAACTTTACAACTTAGTAACTCTATGGCCTAAATTGAAGCAATTACAACACACATTAATGTGGAGGGACACCAGAGCCATGGAGGAAATTCTTGTGGTCAGGCATTTGGTAGCATACCCAGGTCATGTCATGTTGGTGAAAGTTGAATACACAGCAATCAAGTGACACATTCTCTCATTTTATCAATTAGCCAAGATATGCACTTCCTTTATTGGGGTATAAGAAAATCTCTGTTGTAAATCATTTTAAGGAAACTGGGTTATGATCTTAGAAAAAAATTGTAATACAGGAAAAGAAACATGTAAGATTCACAATGTAATTAATATATGGTCGGATTTAGTTTTCATCATATAACTGCATTAGTATGTACATGAATTCATACCTCATATTGTATATAATTATGTTATGTATTTTTCTCTCTTTTACTTCAATGGTGAGTTGTTTATGATCATACCTGTGATCTTCATAAATTAGACTGGAAAGCTTGAAAGATTTAACTTAATTTGGCACACTATATCATCCCTCAGTCAACGGAATCAAGTTAATCACATGGAGAGATATCACCATATAAAGATATGAATTATGCTCCTTATAAGGTTAAATGCTGTTATATTTCAGATAAATTTAAAATGACCTCCATGATCAAAAATGTAGCAGGAACAGCTCTTTTTTCTCTATTCCATCTAATATTTCCACCACAGTCTCAAAGAATGAAGGATTGATACACTAAGGCCCTATGGGATTCTTGATTCTATGAGTGGTCAGAGGTAAATATTGACTCTTTAGTTATCAGATTGTATAGTTACAAATGTTACAAATATAGACATTTTTAAGCATCTGATTTTGTGTAGCCTTCAATTTGTTTTCATATATCTGGAATACAGAGGATCAAAATTGACTTTAAAGTACATTTTAAGGAAATCAAAGCAAAAGAAATTAAAAAAATTTAATACTTCACAATAAGCATGATCTTCAAGCTTTGATGAAGTCAAAATTACTTCTTTAGTCTGTATATATGTAAAAAGGGTAATATTTGTATGTAAAACATACACAGATTTCATGCTAAGTTATGGCTAATTGTAAGTTTTAAGTTCCCCACCCTTAGATATCTCAGAGTTGAATTCATTTGGAAATGTTTAATCACTCATAGTTTACATGATAAAGTAATTCTTATGAAATCAGGTTAACATAAATGTTATCAAGTTAGTTAGTTAAATCAGCTAGTCATCAAGAGAATCCGTGCCATCTTCTACTATTGTGTTTTGCTTTATTTCATGCAGTGTTTTTACTTGCCTTGATTGAAAAGCCCCGTGATAGGTGTTCAATAAACTACTGTATAGATTTATTGCAAGGCGAACATTTTTTTTTTGTTAGACACTCATGATATTGAATATATAATGTAGCATATGGTATTGCTTGGTGTTGATTCTATTTTAAATGCTATGAATTGTTTTTACAACAACATGTATGTGCAATTGGCTATTTTAAGAAATACAAGAATGAAATTTTATTAGTGAATCTGTATGTATTTTGTATAAAGTACAGCTGAAATGTTATTGTTTTAAATACCATCAGCATTATACTGTGCAGAAAGTGCTAGTAAGTTATCTTTTCATCTTACCCTGAAAGGTTTTGTATTATAAGTCAGTGTAGCAAGATTTTTTTTTAATTCTACCAAAGTATGTTCATTATCACAACAAGCATTACACTTCTGTAATACTTCAAATAAATTCCTTAGTGGGTATAGTATATATATCAATATATATCAGTGTTTGTAGGTGTGTGGTATAATATTAGCATTGTTATATTGGTGTAGTGTGTGAATGGCATGTTGCTAGAATACTGATGTTTGTTAGTGAGACAACACCTTGAGGAGAGGAAGACAAGACAAAAATAAAACCAACCGTGTGAACTTGATACTAGTGCAATGTATACTACATAAATGATTGCTGTTACAGTGCATGATTTGTGCATACATTGTCATTGGTGTAGAGTACACTACATACGTTAGCAGTGGTGTAGAGTACACTACATACATTGTCATTGGTGTAGAGTACACTACATACGTTAGCAGTGGTGTAGAGTACACTACATACGTTATCAGTGGTGTAGAGTATACTACATACGTTAGCAGTGGTGTAGAGTACACTACATACGTTATCAGTGGTTTAGAGTACACTACATACGTTGTCAGTGGTGTAGAGTACACTACATATGTTATCAGTGGTGTAGAGTACACTACATACGTTATCAGTGGTTTAGAGTACACTACATACGTTATCAGTGGTGTAGAGTACACTACATACATTAGCAGTGGTGTAGAGTACACTACATGCGTTATCAGTGGTGTAGAGTATACAACATACGTTATCAGTGTCAGTGGTGTAGAGTACACTACATACATTTACATACATTGTCACTGGTGTAGAGTACACTACATATGTTAGCAGTGGTGTAGAGTATACAACATATGTTATCAGTGGTGTAGAGTTTACTAAATACATTATCACTAGTGTACACTACATACATTATCACTGGTGTAGAGTATACAACATATGTTAGCAGTGGTGTAGAGTTTACTAAATACATTATCACTAGTATACACTACATACATTTACATACATTATCACTGGTACAGTAGGTACTACTTACATTAACACTAGACCAGTATATACTACATATATTACAACTTGTGCAGGGTGGTATAATATGTACAACTTTCATTTTACAAGTGCAGTGTGTGACATGTTTTCACAGATGCAGTGTGTTTTACAGTATCGCTGATCCATTGTGTGCGTGATGCATGCAATTGTTAATATTGTTTTTATAACTGATAAGTATATTAGAACATGATTTGTGTTACAATCTTATTTTAGTCAAAACTGTATGATTTACTAAAAAATTGTCCTGTTTGATTAGTTTGAATGTATATGTTTTTCCGTGTACAATATTTTGTAAATACAGTGCATTGCCAAAGTATGTGATATATTTGTACGTGATTGTACTTTACTTCACTACATATCAAGTTTTGGGAATTACCTCCCTTCCTTCACATATTCAGATAAAATCCAAGTTGTTCTGATA